AGTCCTATTCTACCAAGTATGATAATGTATTTCCATCCTAGTAGCAAATACTGGCCACAGCTTAATGAAAACCAGACTTTACAAAGTGTATGAAAAAAGAAAGCTAGGAACATTCAATATAAAGAGGACATTAAAACAATAACAAAACAATTTAATTAAGTGGAAGGCTGCCATAGAAGCTTTATCAACATTTCCCGGAATCGTTAACTCAGTTTCTCTCACTAGAGTTCTTCATCATCCTCTATTGTCTCATTCTTTAATGGCAACTTAAGAGACCCAGGCTGAAGCATGTGCTATTTGCCATCACTTTTAGCAGGTGAAATATGCAAGGGACAATAGCGTGGTTTGGGAGAAGACCTTACTGATCATCTACTTCAATATCCTCATTATATAAGTAAAGAAACAGAGCCACACAAAAGAGTTCAGTGAGTTGTCAGAGGTTGGTAAAAGGGCTCATATCAGAATCCAGGTCTCCTGACTCCTAGGCTAATATTGCTTCCACTGACAATTCCCTATAATTGCTGTTCATTTCCTCTTGGATATTAAATCAAGTGACCATGGTGCCTGCCTGACTGCTGATACTATGCAACAGTATTCACCTGATGGCAGCCAGCTTCCATAAGTTTATCTTGCAAGTTCAACCAGAGAAAGTGGCAGTATTTGCTACAAGCTGTATAGTATACTTGTACACCGAGGTGTGCACGCGGAGGTGATCTCACAGTTCCTGCATTTGTATATTCAGTTAAACATTGTTTAATATTAAATAGAAATTCTCAGTGCATGAGGAGTTGGGTTATATTCATCTATTCACTAAATGAGCATGGGATTAGAAAGGGGGGGCATTTTACCAACAGAAAGATTGTATCAGAAACAAATGTTGTATTAAAAATTTCTTCTTAGGGAAAACATTTCCATTATTTCCAAGGTCCCCTTTATTTCCTTCCCAATCAACATGCAAATATATGTTTAAAATGTGTGCTAAGTTCACTCAAAATCCCAGCCAGGCCCATTGGACTGTCAGTTTGTGAATACAGAATTTCAGTCTTCTTCCTCATCATTGGCCATGCCTTTATTTACCTTAATATTAATGGCATGTAGCCAAGAAAAGGACCAAGGTACTAAGCTGGGGGTGGCAAGGTTAAGTCTCTCATTAATAATATATTTATTTTGAGAATGTCTGATGGAAAACCTGCAGGCTCTCTAGGTACAGAATCTGGTTTTGGTGAAATTGAGGAACAGATGTGAGGCCACTATTCCATTATAAAAGTCGTCACCTAAAATGTCTCTGGTGGGTTAGGAGGAAATTCTTCTGTTTCAGAATATGGTCTTCCATTCTCTTTAGAAATTGCTATGACTGCATACAACTCTGTCAGGCAATAAAGAAAGCATTTCAAGCCAAAGCTAACAGGACTGTAACTGAATGTCAACAAGCAAATTATTTCATAGGCAGCTTTTAGTTGCAAGTCAACTCCTACTGAAATAGATCGGACTTGTCTATTGGCCATCCAAAGAATCCTGCCGGATGTATAGCGTGCTGACAGAATGATATACTATCCTGTCAGACAAGGGAATGGTGAGGGCTGGGGATCTTATCCTTCTGTCCCTCTAAAAGTCAAACTTAAAATCTGCTTAAATGACCCAGAAAGGTGATACCCAAAACAGATGTTAGAAAGGGCCTAAGCCAAATGTCACCCCTCCAATCTTAAGTAACAAAATAGAAACTCTGGTGCCATACCAGTGTGGAGGAGAGCCAGTTTGAAAGTAGAAGGATGCGTTCAGAGTTCTAATATTAGTGATATCACTTTAGATTTAAGTTATATGTAATAGTCCCCTAAGAAAGCACGTGCCATCCCCAAGCGTGTGCCAACCTCAGCACCCAGGCAAGTGTAAGCCTATGGAATCATTGTAACTAGCAAGTATCTGTGCCCTGCATGCTCTGGGCTCTGGCCAGAAAGCTTTGCCTCTGGCTCCTTTTCTATGTTTCTATAGTTCCCTTTCTGATGTTTATTTATTATAAAACCATATTATAACAACAAAGGATACTTTAAAAAGAAATCACTTATAATCTCACCACCCTAACATAATGGACTTCAATTATCTGTGTTCCCATTGTCCATATGCACTTCTTTTTTACACAGTCTTACTCTCTGTTCATGTTACTGAAGTGATTTTTAAATAGATTTTTTTTTTTCCTCAGAACTGGCAGCCTCATCAGAATAGACAACCTATTGAGCAAAGGAATATAATTATTTACACAATCTTTGAGCTGAGAAATATTTTTGATAGACAAACATCTCAAACTATCAAAACAGTTATACAGACAACAGGAAGCAATTTCATATTTCTTTTTCTTTTAGCAATGGAATGTGCTTCACAAGGGATGGATAGACATGAAGATCAGGTGACTAAACGGAAACATTGGTTTGCAATTCACAAGCCTGAAAAAAAGCTGAATAGCACAATTAAAGAATAAATACTTGAGTTAAATCTTTCTTGATGACTTGGCCATCCAGTAGCCAAAATGGAACATGGACACACAAATATTTACAATGAATGACACATAGACAAGATCAGCAAGAACGAAGTCATGACCCAACATGGTGGACTGACTTGAGGGGATTGTGACATCCAAAAATCCTCATGGGATTATGACCACGCACCGGATCCTTGCTACAACATTTATGTTCTTCTCTTTCTTAAATAAATAATTTCTACTGTGCTTCTCACCCTTCCCTGACTTTCCCACTGCCCTATTCCTATCTCAGGACATTTTGGAATCAACATTCGACATTGTGCCCTCATAATCCCAGGGCACACTAGCAACATTAAAGATCTGGGTAAACTCACCTGTCAAGATGAGCTAAAATAAATCCAGGGAAAGGGAATAAACAATTAACCATCTGGAGTCCTCGTTATTCAAGTGTCCCAAATGTGAGTCCTTCCGTACCGTTTTGGCAGGAGAAAACAGCTTCTCTCTAATACTTCTTAGAAATATACACAACTCTCCAACACAGGGAAGGGTCCCTCAGGATAGGATTTTAGACGCTGTTCTCATATTATAAATGCACATAGATATCCATTTGTAAGAGCAGTGCCTACTGAGATAGAGTATCATCAGATCTTGGTACAAAGTGGTGCTGATGAAGTACCTGGTTCCTCACTGCCATTTCTCTGCCTGCAGTGATCAGCTCCAGGGGCTCAAGAAAAACAAACAAAAGCACATGTATGACTTATAAAGGATGTCAATTCACAACTTGGGCTTCCCAACCAGATTTTGGGCTTCCTTCACCTGAAGGACATAGTCATTAATGGACTAAATTCTATTCTCATCCTAGGTATTGTACTGAATTCCCTGGAACTGTGAGTAGAAGAACAAACAAAATATCTTCACAGTTCAAATGAAATAAAAAAAAAATTAAGGCCTCTCTCTCTCTCTCTCATTAAAACAGTAGAACAGTGTGGCATTAAAAATGTCAAGCCCCGTCACTCTTTCATGAAATATAGTATGCTTCCAGCTACTTTATTTTTCTTTTCATATTTGTTGTTTCATCCCTTGGTAGGTATTTTCTGAGAGGTCAAGCCCTTCTCACATTTCAAACAAAACAAATAAGGAAAATAGGATATCCACCAGTGTTATCTCCTAAACATAAACATGTGTCCTACTAGTTAGCAGAAACTCAAAAGAAAGCACTTTCATTTTAAGCAATGATGGATGTACCTAGACAGAGAAGGAGAAAGTTCTGTGACATTGATTTCATCTCCCTCTTGTTGAATATAGATAGGTTCGATTCCGATTCCTGACACACACAGAATCGTGAAGCCTATTCAGTGTAAATTGGTAGCTTTTCAAAGGCCTAGAGAAATAACTCTCCAGATGTTATCAAGTTGACAATAAACTTATAAGAGAAGCATATCCTTTTCTCCTCAGATATCCTCCAGATATTTTTCTACTCTCAGACGACTTAGGAAGCGCCAACTGTTGAATATTTTTTTTTTAAAATAGCCATATGGCGAAACAATAACCTAATTTTGGTACTTCCTCAAGGTACAAAAGGAATTCAATTTGATTTACACATCTTGGGAAGCATGATTGTGAACCAAAATTAATTTCACTGAAGAATCTCAAGATCTCTATGAATGTTTTTTTTTAATTCAAAAGCCCAAGAGACTTAATTATGAACACATCATATCCTGAAACAGAAATTGATGTCACACAGAGAAAAATGGGAACAAGTACTTAGAGCCAAATATTGATTGAGATGTCCTTTTCACGGACCTCCCATTTCTTACAGAGTGGATGATTGTGATACCTGTGCTAGTCACATTTTGTTTTACTTCATGGAAACACTCTTTATTATCAAAATGGATACTCTTTAAAATCAGATGATAAAATTAGCAGTTGATGAATTCACTGCCCCCTGATGCACCAGTTTTACAGTGCAAATATTCCATAGGTACAAGACAGGATTAAAGAGGCATCTTTACCTGGATTGATTTACTTTCCTACAAGGGGTTCTGTAGTAATGCATTTACTTTTGTTCACCTTTTGGCTCTCCAAAAAAGTCCCACCTTTGTTTAAATATGGTTTCTCATCTCAGGGCAAGCCAAGTTCAAGACCTGGACTTACCCAGCTGTTTCAGTGTGCGTCCCTTGCCAGGCATCCTGGAAATGAGCTAGGTGGTTTAGAGAAATGATAACTGTCTCTTAAGCATCATCGTGAAAATGTGACAGGATTTCACCATTTGAGCTGTATTTAAATAGACAGTTTTGACAAGCTCTTCCTGAACACACAGCTTCCTCTCTGCTTTAGGGAAATGTCTTGATAGAAACCCTTTCCCAAAATAAATGCAGAAAAATAGATACACAAACCAAGCCACCACTATGGAAGAAGAATTAAAAAAAAATTGCAACTCTAGAAGGGCATGGACGTCCACAGATTCACACAGTACTTGTTCTGTTGAGAATTTTTTTTGTGTTTTTTGTTTTGTTTTTGTTTTTTTGCTTTGCTTTTTTGCTGTCTTTTAAATTTTTTTTTTTTATAAAGTGTTGACATACTTTCTTTTTCTTCGGGACATCTAAAGACAATGCCTGTGAAAAACATCACATTGGGTAAGGAGTGTGATAGGAGGTTCGGATGTAAGAGGGGCTACTCTAACTTAAAAACAAACACAACACTATGGAGAGGAAGTGTGCATCTTTGAGGAACCTTTTTCTTCAAAGTGAATGCACAAAATGAGGGGATTCACTACTGGCTCTTTCGCTTCACGGTGGAAGTGACCAACTGCCTGGCCACTTCGACATTGCTGCCCGGCTTGGGCTGCGATTCAGGCTTACAAATAAATTACATAATCTGAGGGAGTAGGAAAAAGGCTTTTAAGAAGTTTCTATTCAGTTGAAAATGAAGGAACCCCCACCCCAAATGACTGTCTTTTATTCGATCTTTTCCACAGCAGAGTTTTAGCTCCGTCTCACTCGTGAGGGAGATGGTGTGGGGTAATGAGTGCAGTCCTAGCGGCTGCTGTTCTTAATCGCTTCTTTTGCCGCGATAATCAGTGGAGTCAGGCTGGAGAGAGGCTTGGCTAATTTTAAAAATGGATGCTGTAAAAAAAAAGGGGGGGGGAAGAAAAAGAGAATAATTTTGGACATTCTCTCCACCAGCAAATATACTCACTATATTTCAAGCAGGCTTTTCATTTAAAAAAAAAAAATGAACGTGTATTTTGAGCACCTAATTAAGCACGGTTAATTAATCACATTGCCAGGTTTTGCCCTTCAGAACCAAGAAATCTCCTGCAATTAGAATTTCCCAGGTGAGTTCATGTAAAATTTCACTGTTTGCACAACTCGCATTGGCTCCTTAACTTCTTAACTGATGAGTTTATCTGGAACAGCCCTAATGCCTGAAAAAGACAAACTAAGTCCCAAAGAACTTTACCTTGAAATGAGTGATTTCCTAAAGGCTTCCACTTTGGGCTCTCTATATTACTTAATCCAAATGAATATTACTTCCTTCTTTGAGATGTTTTTCTTCTTTTTTAAATTTTATATTGGTTTACATGCAAAAGTTGCATACATTGTGTTTCATTTATATACATTGTGTTTCATGCGTTCCTCCACTCACACTGTGTTTCTTTCACATTATCATTTCCATACATGGAATTTTTATTTTATTAATTTCAATGAGCATTTACAGAGATTGTGGATTTCCATTCATTCATTGTTGCACTTTTCTCCCCGCCCACCCCACCCCCACCCCCAGTTTGCTCTTCTCCTTGAAAAGCAAAAGAAAAATTCCTTCATTGGTATAGAATCCCCCCGCACACCCCCATCCCCATCCCAAGTATACTCCACTGTGCAACCCTCATTCCGAACTCTTATGATAATCATAATGCCCTAAAATATATTGCTGTTAAACTGTTCTCTCCCTCATCGGCTTCAATGCAGTATACGTAATTTATTATGCAATATTATTAAAAATGGGTGACCCTGGAGGACATTATGCTGAGTGAAATATCTCAGTCACAAAAGGACAAATACTGTATGGTGCCACCGTTGGAGAATGAGGCTGACATCAGGGTGGGGGTAAGACTGAGAAGAATGGAATTTTATAAAGCTCATCAATCACCATTGATCCATACCCACCATATTTCCACCTTTTCAGGACTCCACTGCACTGGATCTTTCCTAATTCCTTCACCTCCTCGTTCTGCCCACCAAACTCTGTTACCTCGAGATTTCCTTCCCACCTTCAATCCACCTCCTCTCTCTCTATCCCCCTTTGAATTTTTCTACATTTTACTAGTAATCCTGTTTTTACAATAATGGACTTATACAATATTTGTCCTTATGAGACTGAGTTACTTCACTCAGCATAATGCTTTCCGGGCTCTCCTATGTAATATAGTATTATTTTTTTATTTTCCTTTCTTTCTTTTTGCACTTTTCTCCCTGCCCAACCTCCACCCTAGTTTGCTCTTCTCTTTGAAAAGTTAAAAGAAAAATTCTTTCATTGTTAGACAATCCCTCCCCCCCCCAGTCCACTCCACTATGCAGCCTTCATTTTGAAAAGTAAAAGAAAAATTCTTTCATTGTTAGACAATCCCTCCCCATCACTGCTCCTGAGTGGTGAGATGTTTTTATTTTTTGGTTCTCTTCTGTGTTTGCTGACTATTTCATCTTCTTCTCCTTTCCTAGTTTCTTAGGGCTGGCTTCTCAACATCTTTTTGCTCACTGAACTCTTTTTACAAATATCATATGCCATCATGGTTTCACCTATCACCAGCTTTGTTAGGGATGACTCCAAATCTATATTGTGAGACCTGATTTCTTTCCTGACTCAACAAGAAATAGCCAGTAGGCAGCTGGAGAAATAGTTGCCTTAAATTAAAAATTCAAAAATAGAAAAAAAAATGAAACAAAAAAAAATCAGGCTCACTGTTCTTTGTAGAGACTGGTGGAACCCCCGAGACTATGATCCACATCAAGCCCAGAATGGAACCCACTCCTAGGAATCAACTTTCAGTCAAACAAAGAAAAAAAAAAAGGTCTAAAAAGTGAGTGATGCCAGGGAGAAAGCACATCTCAGTAAATGAACTACAGCAGGAAACCAAAAAGACAGCAACAGAAGAAAAACAAAGCTCAGAGGGCAAGACAGAAAGAGGATCTTCCCGTTCATCTGGGAACCTATGGAAAAAGTGGGACAAGTACTGTTACATGTTGTTGCTGTTGTTGCATACCCTGGAGTCGGCACAGACCCATAGCTGACCCTCCAGTGGGTTTTCAGAAGCAGTTGATCATATGGGAAGAGATTGTCCATCCTTCTCCCACGGAGCAGGTGGTGGATTCCAGCTGCATGCCTTAAGGATTGCAGCATGGCTTTCTTACCACTAGGCCACCAGAGCTCCTTCATGCTACATAGATGTATGTATTGTTACATACATCCCCTGACTGCAACCAGTGTCATGACAAAATATATAGAAACTTGTTGAATTGAAAATTAACTGGCTCTGCGAAATTTCACCCAAACTATAGTAAGAGGCAAACATAATATTATGAAGAATAACATGTTAAAGTCTCAAACTTGGTGCTTTTGTGTTATGCACAAAACTATGGTACAAAGTACTGTATTTCCTCCCACAAACAGCACACCCATGTGAATGAGGCCTCCACACATATAATGCACAGGGACAACTAATTTATGAACTGTGCATATTTTCGGACAGTTGCAGAAGTGAATTTCTGCCTCCTTCACCCATATCATCAGTAATTGATATTGTTCTTTCATTTTCTTTATTTGCTGTATGTGTGTATGTAAAAACGGGTCTAAAATATCACTTTTGATTGTTACTATGTAATAAAGGTATAAACTATGGCCAAGTTGTCACAGATCAACTTTAATAATTCCCTGGTTGAAAAAATAATTGATAAATACAATATAGACAGCATTTGTTTTAATCCATTTCAGTTAGTAATTAGAGTACATGAGCTCAACTATGAAAACCTTCATATCATCTTCAATGAAACCATTAGGATTTATTGCTGTTGTTGTTGTTGTTGTTGTTATGTGCCATCCAGTTGAATATGGTTCATAGCGACCCTATGAGCAACACATCTGAACCCTGCCCTATGCTGTGCCATCCTCATCAACGCTGACATACTTCAGCACATTGCTACCACTGAAATTGTTTTGTATGGTGGAAAGTCACAAAATTGAGAGTTCAAGTCCAGACTCTGTCATTCAATAGCTATGTGATCTTGGATTAAGTACCTCTTTGAGACTCAGTATTCACATGTGCATTCACATGTGTGAATGGGATCTACCCTATACGATTTGTTGCCAGAATTAAATGAGATAATGTATGTAAAGTGTTTAGTTGACAATAAGTAATAGGTATCATCCTCTATACCATCTCTGAGAGCTGTTATAAAGACATGTGCTTTGCAGAGGCTCTAACACTCGATGGTGCTCACCCAGGCAAGCAGGTGCCTGCCCACTGGCATCACAAGCAAAGGGACTCTTTGATCAGTAAAGCACTAGAGTAGCAAATGCCACAGAAATAATTGCATACTAATGCAGAGAATTACCTCCAGCCAAGTGCACCTGCATACTATATTCAAGGGCATAAGTACAGTTTAGAACAAAACAGTGGTTCACAGTGCTGTTATTTTCAGGTTGTTCCCCCCCCCTTGCAAAAAGAAAACTCCATGAAGCACAACAGTGGTCTTTAAACCACCAACTTTGCAGAACGAAGGCAGCATATCACTCGATCATGTATTAGATGCATGCCTATACTTACATGTTTGTGGTCTAAAATCAAATGGTTACAGCCTTACTCTAAATAGACAGGCTGTATGCATGGAAAACTTTATTATAATAACTACATAATTATCCTATTTTTACCTGCAAAAGCTCCTTGGCAGATCCTCGTCTATCAACATCCATCTCAAGACAGCGATTTAAAAAGTCACGGAACACAGCTGACAATCTCTCAGGATTTTGGAGTTCTGGGGTTCCATTAGTGGCTATCAGATATAGCGCCTATAGAAAAAAATTTGAAAAATTTATTCAGCATGTACATAGTGCAACGTGGGTAGGCACAAAAGGTGTATATTCAACGTCTTCTGGTTTGCTCTTGGGATCTTAAAAATTCCACTTTAGAAAATTATAGATATTTCAAAATTTCTAGAACATATAGAAATGATCATTCTTGGCAACCCCTGACTAAAGATCCTCCCCCTTAACCTTCAAAACCAAAACCAAACAATATTAGGAAATACATGTTATTAGGTATCTGAGAGTTAAGCCAGCAAGATCCATCTTACTAGATGTAAACCTAGCAGATTAAACCAAGGGACTATCTGTCAATCTGTGATTCTAAAGAGTTTAGGAATAATCATGGTGCTATGACTATAACTTTCAAAAAGTTTAGTGGAAAAGTGATTGCAATTTGTTAAATGGTTCTTGAATCGAATTTGTATCTTGTTTGGAGAATATTTGTGAACAGGGGAAGGAAGAACAGCATAGAATACAGAATCAAAGAAGTACAACGTAAAAAGGTGGTAGGGTCTGCCAAAGAGGCAAATACTCAAGGACTTTGTGTCCCTGTGGCAGATGTATACATTATTTATTATCATAGCATTCCCTATATACAGTTACTTGTAATTACAGAAAATAAATGTTGACTTTGTAGTGCTGGTACATGACAGTTACACATATACGTACACTGCTATCTTGCAATAAATACATAGAATTTTTTTAATTTGTTTTTTTACTTCTTGCTACTTTGATTTTTTAATTTACACTGGTTTATCTACAAAATTTGTATACATTGCCCCTCACATGGTTCCCCCCTACTTCCCCCTTCCCCAAACTGTGTGACCCCATGATTACCCCCTCACCCATCCCCACCCCTCTTTCTCCTTCCCCTTAGATCCTCATACATGTTTTACTAGTTACCGATTTCTACAATAATGGTCTTATACCGTATTTGTCCTTATGGGACTGAGTTAATTCTCTCAGCATAATACTCACTCTCCAGTCCCTCCCAAGTTAGGTAGTGATTTACAAAATCATTGCTCTTACATGTTGCATAGTATTCCATCATGTACCAGAATTTTTCAATACATAGATATTTTTATTTGTTACGAAAGACCAATACTGAGTTATAGCAACCCATGGTGTGCTGACGGAATCAAAGTCCTAAGACTTCAAAGCAGAATGTAGAATGAAGTTCTTGACAACTGACAAGTTACTCACTTATGACACTCCCTCAACAAAAACCTGCTTTTAACACATTATTTGTTATGTAAATAACAAAGGGAGCTTGGTGGCCCAGTGGTAAGAAGCTGTGCGGCAAGCTCAAAGGCACACAGTTCGAATCCACCAGCTGCTCTGCAAGAGTAGGATGGGCAATCTCCTCCTGTGGGATTTACTGCCTCTGAAAACCTGCTAGAGGGCCAGCTATTTGTCAGCTCTGACTCTATGGCACACAACAACAACAACATATATTGTACTAAAGAGTCTTGGTGGTTTAACATTAAATGAAATGGGCTTCTCTGAGAGAGGTAGATGGACAGTCTCCTCCCTTAAAGCTCCTCAGAAAGCTGATGGAGAGTTCACTATGTCTTGGAATCGGCTAGCCAACCAAGATTTTCTAGGAGTTTATGTATTGTATCAAATGGTATTGGAAATCCAAAGAAGACGTGTTTTCTCTTTCCAAGAGCACATGATTTGCTGAGAGAAGCACACAGCTACAATGCAGTAAAATAAGCACTAACAGAGGAATGTATGAAGAGTAAAGGAAACAGGTTTTTATAACAGAATTCAGAGAAATCTTGAAAGAGGACTTGTAGCATTTGAGCAGGTTCTTGAAGGACAAATAGGACTTTGTCTGCCCATGTGACAAATCCAACTCCAATGAGGACATGCTCCCCTTCCTGAACATGCTTGGATTTCACAGCAAATATCCATCCCTTTTACCTTCACCTAATATATTATAATTTGATGCCTAATATATTATCATTTAAAGTATTTCAACCAAAGACCTTTCCCAGCTGTTTTATTTGCAGCATCCTCTCACAATGGCACCTTGGAGAGGGCCTTTGGGAAGGACTCTTTAATCTAGTTTCTGTCAATCTATAACATATATACCAGAATCACCTGGAGGTTCCATAAATCTAGCCAAAATCCCAATAGTTTGTCTTTTTATGAGTGTCCTGAGAGTTCTGGTGACCTGGTGAGTAAGGAATTTTCCTGTCAAGCCAGATGCAGCAAGGGGGAAAAAATCTCTAAGGAAAGGATCAGGACATTCATGTCCTTTTAAGCCCTTTGGGTGATCACAAAGTGCAGCTGAGGACCGGAGGCCCACCTCAGACTTCAAAGCTTTGAATTGTTACATTTTAACCATCTTAAGTATATAATAATTGCACCAAAATGGAAGAGCCACAGAATTCCACAGAGGGGGTGGGGGTTCTTTTGCATAGACAAGCTTTTACTAAGTGCAATGAAATCTCAGTTTTCATTCTTCCTAATATATTTTTTTTAAAACATTCACGAATAAATACACTCCATCCATATAAAAACCTTCCTTTCCCTCACATCCCACTCTTAATTTTCGGTTCTGCAGTGGATTAAAAACAAATGCCAAGTCAATTGCAACTGCAGTCTTAACTAAAAGGACGTGGGATGGGAGAAAGAGATGCATGGGTTGCTTTTAGGCAGTCATTGAGTGTGTTAAAATCACACAGTATACAGACACAGCAATTATATTAAAGTTCAGAGTGCTTTGAGTCCTGGAAAAATTAGTATTTAAAGTAGTGACTGAAGATTACATTTATTTGCCTTCCCCTAAAACTCTGGTTTCTGCTAGTGACATTTTCCCCTAATTCATTCTTCTCTGTAACTCAATAATCTCTTCTTCTTTTACTCTCCCTTGGTCTGTACACATGCCACAAGATTACATTTCATCATTCTTACTTAGCTCAAGACACTCTACTCCATGTAATCTTTTTCCTTATAAGTACATACATATCTTTTCTTTTTCCCCCCACATCCTTCTCATCTCTATTCAGTCCTTGCCCAATTACCACAGGAAATACATGACCCTCTTTCCATTCCATTTGTGATTCAAAAAGAAATGACCCTCATCATAGTTGTTAAGCTTGAGTAGTAGTGGTAATGCATCTGGGGAAAGAAAGCTGTGTAATTTTAAGGAAAATCAAACTTTAAAAGGAGCTATTACTACCATTGTGCATAGTACTTCAGAAAGCATGTATGTTTTCTTCAGAATTTCTACAAAAAGTCTGACAGTGGTGGATGCTGGTGGAGACAGGCGTGATAAAAGAGGGGCGTTTCCTGGTAGCGTAACTGTTGATTCTTGCCCTGGATGGTAATTACTGATCTGCTTACCATCATCAATGTAAGTAGCAATATAAGGCTGCCCCTGTCTCAATACTGTATTATAAAATTTTTTTATTGCTAAAATAAATTATTGCTGTAAAAATAAGAGGTAAAGCAATATTGGCTAAATCAGAATTTTTCACAAGTACATTTCAGTGAGATCAATCATATGTTAATCATCGCAAATAATTTGCCAAATTTTCTATTGCCATAAATAGAAAGTCACTGCATCCCAACAATGATTTTTCTCTTTTTCCCTCCCATCCCCAATAACCACTAATAAACTTGTTGGAATAGACCCATAGCTGACCATTTAGTGGGTTTTCAGAGGCAGTAAATCACACAAGAGGAGACTGTCCCTCCCTCTCCCGCAGAGCAGCTGATGGATTCAAACCGCATGCCTTTAGGATTGCAGCACAGCTTCTTACCACTTGGCAAGCAGAGCTCCCTAATACACTTAGGACTCTACATTTGCCAAATATAGGTATTTTCTATCAGAGTGATTATATAGTATTTGACCTTCTGTGATTGAGTTCTTTCACTCATTATAATGTTTTCAAGGTTCATCCATGTTGTGGCAAAATCTGCTTTTCATCAAGCACTACACTTTGATGGAGACAAAAATCCAGGCTATTTCTTTTTTCAACTATTGTTTTCATTTTCACGAAAACAGTATCATTTCCAACTAATTTCCATTGCAAAAATCCACACTTTCAGTTATGTTATGGGCAACACTGGCTTTTTTGGACTGCCTTGAGAATCTAATCAACATGTATGAGAAAATACATTCTGAGTCTTAGAAAATTAACTGTAAAATTAACTTTTGGAACACATCCTGTGTGTAAGCTGGGTACTATCTTAGTAAAAACAAATTTGTTAGCTACTGCCCTGCTAATGAGGGACAAATACAGTTGTAGCCAATAATACTAGCATATCAAAATGGATTTTAATAGCAAAGTGAAGTCTTATATGCAGAAAGATTGAAGAAAATCAACCCAGGCAAGAGCATCATTTTCGTTTCATCTGAATTAACGAAGAAAAATCAAAGAGAAAGGGCCTATTAGAAATTATACTAGAAATTTTTCCATATGGCTGGTTGCTTTTACTCAATGGTCTAAAAAGAGTTAAGTTTATCTAATTAAGTTAATGTCACAAGGGTTACCCTTGGTGGACAGGTTTTAGTAGGGCTCCCAGATCAAGACAGACTAGGAAACAGGATTGGCCATCCACTTGTTAAATAACAGGCCTATGAAGGGTAGGGGAATACAGATAGAACTGCAAAAATCCTCAGAACTAACTAATAAGCCACACCATGAGAGATAAAGAAAAGAGTTATCAAGGACTTAATTTTACTTGTATCCACGAACAATACTCATGGGAGGAACTGGCAAGAAATAAAATACTGCATTGGGCAAATATACTGCAAAAAGTAGCAAGGATGTCAATTTAAGGACATCCCAGGCATGACCTAAGCCATGGTATTTTCAATCACTTTGTATGCATGTGAAGTTGGACAGTGAATAAGGAAAAAGAGTTGATACAATTGAATTGTGTGTGTGTGTGTGTGTGTGGAGAGAGAGAGAGAGAGAGAGAGAGAGAGAGAGAGAATGAGAATGAATGTACCACAGATTCCCAAAAGA